AAAAAAAAAAAAAAAAAATAAAAAAAAAAAAAAAAATTTGTGTTGTTTTGTTTAATTTCAAAAAAAGAAATTGTGTTGTTTTGCTGTGGTTGATTTTGCGATCTTCAGAGCTGAGATTGATTGACTAGTTTTATGTTGTTTTTTATTTCTCTATAGTTGATTTGAGCACGAGTGTTTCGTCCTTTTGAAATTAGGTATAGTGGAAGTTTAGTGTTCATTACTGGTAGGGTTTGAGTTTAATTTTTGGTTCATTCTTTGTTGCAACTAACGACATCCTTGTAAACTAGAAATTCAATAGGAATAACTGATTCCAGAACTTTGTTTTATTTCGTTAACTGCCTGAAACTTTAGATTTTTCAGCTATGTTGTTTGGACTCTTCAAAAATGTCAACAGGTGTGTGTCGGATCCTCCAAAAATAGTGTTTTTTGAAGGATCCGACCAACTTAGCTTTTCAGTGTCTTTGATGAGTGTAATTTAATGGAAGATTTTTTTCTTATTCCAGTAGGTGAACAATGAATAAATACAATACATAAAGTGCTAAGTGCTAACTAAGGAAAGAAATTAAGAGTGATTCCTATAGATCTGCAGTGATCCCTATAAATCTGCTGCCCATATATAGCTATGTATATTACTAAGATTAAGTCTATATACATTCTATAACACTCCCCCTCAACCTGGAGCATATATGTTGATCATGCCCAGCTTGTTACAAAGATAATCAACTCGAGTTCCATTCAACGTCTTTGTGAGCAAATCAACTACTTGCTCTCTTATCTTCACTTAGCTAGTGGAAGTCAGTTTTCCTGAATCTTCTCACGAATAAAATGACAGTCAACCTCAATGTGTTTAGTTCTTTCATGACACATCAGATTTGAGGCAATATGCAAGGCAACTTGATTATCACACCAAAGTTTTGTTGGTATGTGATGTTCCAACCCAATTTTAGTTAGAAGATGATGTATCCACATAATCTCACATGTAGACTGTGACATAGCTTTGTACTCAGATTCTGCACTGGATTGAGATACAACACTTTGCTTCTTACTCCTCCATAAAACTAGGTTCCCTCCAAAGACATAATAGCCTGTAGTTGATCTCCTGTCAATTTTGGATCTAGCATAGTCAGCATCTGCAAAACACTCAACACGAGTATGACTGTGATTGCTATATAAATCCCAAGTCCAGGGGATCCTTTCAAGTAACATAAAATCTGTTCCAAAGCTGCCCAGTGTTTAACTGTAGGCGAGGACATAAACTGGCTAACAACACTTACTGCAAAAGCAATGTCTGGACGAGTGACAACAAGGTAGTTTAACTTCCCAACTAACCTCATGTATCTCTCAGGATCATCAAAGGGGTCGCCGTCATCTTTCATAACCTGCACATTGGGAGCCATTTGAGTACTGCAAGGTTTAGCTGCCAACTTTCCAGTGTCTGCAAAAAGATCAAGAATATATTTTCTCTGAGACAAAAAAATTCCCTTCTTGCTTCTATTCACCTATATACCCAAAAAGTATTTCAACTGACCCAAATCTTTCGTATGAAACCTAGTATGCCAGAAGGATTTGAGGGAAGAGATCCTCGCATAATCACTTCCTGTGATGACAATGTCATCAACACACACAACCAGGATAGTGCCAACTTTTGATTGTTAGTAGAAAACTGAGTGATCACATTTACTCATTTTCATCCCTAACTCCAGGACTACCCCACTGAACTTCCCAAACTAAGCTCAGAGACTCTGTTTCAAGCCATACACAGACTTCTTCAAATAACAGATTCTCCCATACTCCCCCTGAGCAACAAAACCAGGTGGTTGCTCCATATATACTTCCTCTTGAAGATCACCATGAAGGAATGCATTTTTGATATCCAACTGATGTAAAGGCCAATTCTCAGAAACAGCTAAAGAAATGAACAAGCTGACGGAAGTAAGTTTGGCAACTGAAGAGAAAAAGTCTGAATAATCCACTCCATAAGTTTGAGCATACCCTTTAGCCATAAGCCTAGCCTTAAGTCTTGCCACAAAACCATCTAGATTAACTTTAACTGTGAACACCCACTTACATCCCATTAGTTTCTTCGTGCTAGGTAAATCCACTAAATCCCACGTGTGATTTTCCTCTAAGGCGTGTATTTCCTCAAGCATCGCATCATACCATCCAGGATGGTTCAAAGCTTCTTTCACTGTTTTGGGTATAGAGATGGAGTCTAAAGAAGGAACCAAGGACCTCGACACAGAGGATAAGCAATCATAGGAAACAAAAGTAACAATGGAACCGGTGAAGAGCAATAGAGAGATCCAAATTCTCTGAAGGATCGGGTGAAGAAAGATTTGATAACAGAGGAACCGGTGCAGAACATGTATCGTCGATCTCTTGTCTCCTTGAATAAACTTGAACAATTGGTGGTCTTGCTGGAGTAGAAGTTGTAGGCCCAATAGTCAATTGGTGTTCAATAGGGGAACTAGGAGATTGAAGTACATTATTTGATTGTTCTGTCACAACCCGAGCAACCTGATAGAGTAACCACTCATCTTCCTCCTCTTGAGTTGTATAAATGGGAGGTGCATGGAAGAATGGTGGTCTCTGAAAAATACCACATCATTTGACACCAAGTATTTACCAAGCTTAGTAGAATAACATCGATACCCCTTCTGAAGGCATGAATAACTCAAGAAAATAGACTTCAATGCCTTAGGATCCAACTTGGTAACAGATGGCTGAACATCTCAAACATAACACGTGCTTCCAAATACCTTAGGCTCCACCGAAAATAGTGACTTGTTTGGAAAAATAACATTGTAAGGCACATTACCAACAAGAACAATCGATGGCATGCGGTTAATCAAAAAACAAGTTGTAGAGACTGCATTAGCCCAAAATTGTTTAGGAACCTTCATTTGGAACAAAAGTGCTCGACTGTCTCAAGTAGATGCCTATTCTTTCTCTCAACAACTCCATTTTAAGAGGGTGTATCAACACATGAAGTTTGATGGAGAATACCATGTTGTCTCATGTAGGACTGAAATAATTCTGACATATATTCTTTAGCATTATCACTCCATAGACTACGCATTGAAGTATTGAACTGAGTTTTGACTTCAGCACAAAAGTGAGTAAACACTTCAGAACGACTCTTCATAAAGTAAATCCAAGTCATTCGAGAGAAATCATCCACAAATGTGACAAAATACTTATGTCCAGTTTTGGAAACAACAGGACATGGTCCCAAACATCAACATGAACTAACTCAAACTTCTTCCATTAAAAAAGAAAAAGGTAGTCTTTATCGACTCCACCCGCTTATTAATCTTGGATTTGTTGAGCTACGATGGTGTTTAGCAAATTGACATGACTCACAATCTAGTGAAGGAATATTCTGAAACTGAGGACAGAGCTTCTTCAACATAGGCAAAGAAGGATGCCCTAATCGACAATGTGCCTCAAATGGAGACACGACACAAGAGTAGGCAGCAAATCGAGGCTCCCAATATTCATCAAGAATGTAGAAACTATCAGATACATGTCCTTTACCAATAACTTTATTTGTCTTCAGATCACGAAACAAACAATGACCGACAAAAATGAGATATAATAGCCTAGGTATCTGGTAAACTTTCTAACAGACATCAAATTAAAGGCTAACTTTGGTAGACCTAATACATATCACAAGGTAATGGAAGAAGTTAGTTTTACAGTCCCAGATCCTATAACATTACAGATTGAACCATCAGCAACTGTCACAGGAGAGAGTGCTCCGTGTGATTGAAAGCTAGAATATATGTTAGGATTACCTGTCATGTGATTTTCGAAGAGGATATAAGACATGCTTTTCCTGACTCAACAAGGGTAGTAACTGAAATAGATTATTTTTGTAATTTTTGATATTGTGAGAATTTTGTAAACTCTTTCGCCGAAATCAAAATTCTTTTATCCGAAGACATATGAGCCACAATTTTAGTCATTCTCTCCAAATATTTTAGCAACACAAGAACTCATCAACAAAAATATAACCAGAAGAATGTATGTGACCCCACAAATACAGATGAACAAAGTCTAAAAATGGTTTTATCAACTAAGAAACCAATTGTCCACCCAAAATAAAGGAACTGAGTACTTTACCGGTAGACAAGAGCACATAGTGAACAATCAAGTAGTTCAGAGAAAGAAATCCTGAACCGCAACTTATGATAAAAAAACACCAATTATATGAAATGAAGTAGAAGCTAGAAGCCACAAATCACAAACCAAATTCAGTGTCGCAGAATAGAAATGAACCTGGAACGAACGAACTTTCCAGATTGTATTTTAACACCAAAATAGACCTGAGAAGGGACGAACAAACATTCCAGATGGTATTTTAACACTAGAGCACACTTGACATTCGCCAGAAATACGTTTCTAGATTGTATTTAACACCAAAATAGACCTGAGAATCGCTAGAAATACGTGCCGATGCTGGAAATTCAAAATCCAATCAATTCAGCCAGACACGCACCTTCACGTGCCGGTGCGTGATGAACAAAAGAACCGTATGAGCGGTGTGTGGCAACCACTCGCTTCACAACCAGAGGCCGGTGACGACTGGTTTGGCTGGAAAATATACTCCGCCTCCTTCTGTGGTGGTGATAGTAGACTGACCACTTTAAATCAGTGGAATAGAAATCCAAACTTCTTCCGTAACACAACCAAAACGAAACGAGCCTATAAGCTCTGATACCATGTAATTGAATGGAAGATCTTATTCTTATTCCAGTAGGTAAACAGTGAATAAATACAATACATAAGGTGCAGACTAAAGAAAGAAATTAAGAGTGATTCCCATAGAGCTGCAGTGATCCCTATAAATCTACTGCCTATATAGCTATATTACTAAGATTAAGTCTATATACATTCTATAACAATGAGTATTTTCTTTTGATATTCTCAGTTTTATTTACTTATTGATTTATATACATTATTGGAAAATGTTGTATGCGTTTTTTTTATGCAACCCAGAAAAGATTTTAAAAGTACATATCTTTTAGGGCAAAGTGTGCAATTTTTGTAACTCTAGTTTATCTAGGTCCTAGGAATCACTTGGTGAAACTTAGTTCTTGTGGAATTCCTATCAAGTCAGGGTCTTGGGGAACCAAGTCAGAACCATGAGGAATCAATCAATTACGTTGAATGTGCTTAGAGATGTATCATATGATACCAGCCGACATGTCTCATGCCACCAAAATGTTGTTACCGTGTGGGTATTGGTCCAATAACTGCAGTTTCCTGAAAAGTGCCTCTTTCCAGGGCGAAGGACGTTAAGAGCTTGCAAAAAAATTGCTGAATCAATCCCTAAATAGTACTTAGAATAGAATTTCTTTTCACCGAGTAATAAGCATGAATAAAAAGTAAGCTCACGTGAATATTGAGTTATACCTGTGAGTTATTTTGTTATGAATCATGAGCTTAGATGATTAGTTGGCAAGTAAATATCAATAGCGGATGAGGTAATTACTTAGGGTTTTTATTTTGGCGCAATGTAGGTAGTCTCTACTGCATATTATTCAACTCTTGTGGAGCTCTCTCGAAGGCTTTTTTTTGTGACATGTACTTTAACTTTATGCTTATCTCAGCACTTCTAAAATTTTGGAGTTTGGACTTGTTTAGTTACGTAAATGGTTCATTTGTTCTTGATAATTCATTATACTGAAAGTCCTATACACCCAACTAAATATCCAATTTAGAGTGGTAACGAATCTTTAGAAGACCAAGATCACACTGAACCAATAAAATACCCACTACCTTTTCCAATTAGGCATCTATAACTGTGGTAATTCGGAACATTTCCAGTTAGTGAACTTTTATTCGTTCCTTTATTATTTATTCTATTCTTGTGCTCCTTAATCTTCTCTCCTCTTTGTTTTACTTGAATTTAAGCCTCCAATAGTAGTCCTGTTTCCTGTCTTGATTTTTAGTCATATTCTTCTACCCTTTCTATAGTGAGACCCAGAAATGGCTCAAGGTACTTGTGCGATTCTTAGTATGCATCGCTCCTTAACAGCCCCCCACTTTGATGCCTTGAAACCCAAGTATTCTGGTCCATATGTCAAGGATACAGCCAAGTTTGTAGCCTGTCCAACATCACACTTTGGTATTTAATAAGATCATTCTTTCAGTCATTTGTTCGCTTATCTCAACAGTAAAGTCAACTATCAATGTGATTTGATTTTCTGACTGGCTTATAAATTGCTTGATTTTCATACTAGCTTTTGTTGAGTTTAGTTGGTGATGTTATTTAGTTTGGGAACAGGGAGACAGGTGTTTGGAATTTGTGTAGGGTTGCATTCTGTTAAATTGTAAAGATATTGAAATCACAATGAACCAACATAGCACAATCGATCTGAAACATGGATGGGACTTCATGCAAAGGGGCATTACAAAATTGAAGAACATTCTAGAAGGGCTGCCTGAGCCTCAGTTCAGCTCAGAGGACTATATGATGCTGTATACGTATCCTTTTAGACTCCCACACTGTTAGGCATGTTGATAACTTGGATTTGATTCACCTTTTGTTTCCTTAATTCTACTAACAGGACAATTTACAACATGTGTACTCAGAGGCCCCCACATGATTATTCTCAACAGCTGTATGACAAATATCGTGAACCTTTTGAAGAATATTTCACAACAACGGTAAGGGTAGCTGCAGTTTTCATAAGCATTTCACTTTAGTAGAGATTAAACAAGGTACTACAATAAAACAAGAAAAAAAAGAATTGAAGAAGTATTATTCTTAATAATTCTTTGATGTTTGTATATCCATGTACCATTCTTGATTGTTTGCTCTCTATGTATCATTCTGGAATGTTTGGAACTTATAAAAATGATTTCTGTAATAAAGAAACAGAAAATCATTAGTCTGGTGAGCCCTTTGTTGCTGTTTTATTTTTTGATTTTAGCGATGTAAACAAAGTGGGGTTAGTATGGGTAGTTTCCGTGGTTCCCTCTGTGATTTTATTTTATGCCCTCTATTATTTTATTTAATAAGGATCCATGTGCAAGTATCAACATTTTTATGGGATCTGAACGTAATTCAAGCATTGCTTTCCCAAGAGGCATATTATCTTTTAGTTTTATTCCCTCTATCATGAGATTCAAATTTAGAAAGGCTGCTCTTGCTGCTTCTTCATCCCATAGAATATTAAGAAAAGGATACGGGGAAAGTGGATAGAAGTTTCAAAACACAGCTAAATTTCATGGATCTTTTTGTATGTTATTTTAGGCATGCAATTTTGCTTAGGAGTTTAAAATGATGAAAACTCAAATTTGGCTTAAAGATTGTTTACCTAATTTTTGTTTCTCCAAATAATTCTACCTTCTCTAAATTTGACACTGCAATTCAATTTCAAAATAGGTATTGCCTTCTTTGAGAGAAAAACATGACGAGTTCATGTTGCGAGAGCTGGTAAAACGGTGGTCAAATCATAAGATCATGGTCAAATGGTTGTCTAGATTCTTCCATTATCTTGACTGCTATTTCATTGCCCGGAGATCTCTGCCGGGGCTTAATGAAGTTGGATTAACTTGCTTCCGTGATCAGGTAATTATGGTTCTCCTTCTCTTTTCAATCAAAACTTTGTTTCTATGGTCATCTATTAAAACATCTCCACCTGATCCCTTGGTCAAAGCACTGAGTTCAGCTCATGGCTTCTATAGTGATTTTTTTTAATTCTGTTTTCTGGGTTTTGCCTATTCTAGAATTCGGTTTTCAGTTTGACAGTATACTCAACTGCTTCCACGTCCTTTTACGAAAAGATGTTACCATTTAGTCCCTGCATCTCAATTATGTGAAGGTGTTTGACTGGGCACACAGTTTAAGAGAAAAAGAAAGAATTTTGAAACTTGTGGTATAAAGTAAGCTATAGAAACTTTGTGAGTATAAAGTAAAACAAGAAATGTGAATTTAAATTGTTACTTATTATGGATAGATGTCCCTTTTTTGAGGACTGACTAAAATATAAAGAGTATCACATAAATTGAAACAGAGGTAATATCTTACTGGGTGACTGTTTTCTATTTTAGGTCTACCAAGAGTTGAATGGAAAAGTCAGGGATGCTGTTATATCTTTGGTATCTCCTTTGTCTTGCTTTGAGTTCTCACTACCATTTCTTTTTTCCTTTTAATTGAGCAATAACATTCCTCTAACCAGATTGATCAAGAGCGTGAGGGAGAGCAAATTGACAGAGCTCTACTAAAGAATGTGCTAGATATATTTGTTGAAATGGGAATGGGGTCGATGTATTATTATGAGTACGATTTTGAAGATGCAATGCTCAAGGACACTGCGGCTTATTATTCTTGCAAAGCTTCTAACTGGATCCTCGAAGATTCATGTTCAGATTATATGCTAAAAGTTAGTATACCGCGTATGCAACCCCTTGATTCTGCCATTCTTGCCCTGTTGTTTCTTCTGTCTATCTTTTTTCTGGTTAATGTCCATATGTTAACCTACATAATCATGTCAATGTTACTTTAGGCTGAGGAGTGCTTGGAACGAGAGAAGGATAGGGTCTCTCATTATCTCCATTCAAGCAGCGAGACAAAGTTGCTTGAGGTTCGTTCTAGCTCTTAATCTTTTTTCTTTACTGGAACTTTAGCCTTCAAGATGGAGGATGTTGCTATCAGTTTTTGTTGTTCACATCTTCTTTTTTCTGGATCTAATCTATCAACTTTAAATTAGTTGCAACCTTACTAGTCTCTCCTTTCTACAGAAAGTGCAACATGAGTTGTTGTCTGTGTATGGCACTCAACCTCTTGAGAAGGAGCACTCTGGATGCCATGCGTTACTAAGAGATGATAAGGTAGCTAGCAGCATCTTAATGACCACGTTTCGGATTTTATATTTGCAGTAATTGACACAATCATGATTATTTAATTAGGTTGAAAATTTATCAAGGATGTATAGGTTCTTTTCTAAGATTCCTCAAGGCTTAGACCCTGTGGCCAATATTTTTAAGCAGGTTTGTGATCTCATGACATCATATTCTCGATTGTATACCAATAAGTTACTTCACATATCCTTCTTTTTAATCTGAATGCAGCATGTTACTGCTGAAGGTGCAGCTTTGGTAAAACAGGCTGAAGATGCTGCTAGCAACAAAAAGGTTTGTACAATCTATCCTTTTCAAATTCTTTGGTCTTGAGAAATTTGGTTCTTCCTTATTTGGCGTTTATACACTTTGAGTTGACTTGGAACTTGTCAAACTAGAAGTTTTTGCTATTTTAATATGCTAAGTTACTTGTGTTCAAGTGTCTGATCAACTTAATTTCATATTTTAGCACACCATTTCTGACATCAATACTTTTAAGTTTAAAAGCTATCTACTCTAGCTCCCAAGTCTTAGGAAATACAAATACCCCCTGCCACTCAAGTTTTAGAAAATACAAACTAACCACTTACTATAAATATTTTAGAAATTTTAAAAAAATTACAACATCTGTTTCTTACCCACCAAAATCTCTCCTTCCTTGCCAATTTTCTGTCATCCAGCTTGTTTTCCCGCAAAAAATTGAAGCATTTCACTGGAAAATTACTCCACATGACGAAAACCTCCTCAAGATCAGCCATTGTAGTTCCCCATTATTGTAGAAGCTCGAAATATTTCATCCATTATAGAAGAAGCTCATTTTTCCAGCAGCCTCTTTCCAGTCATTCTCCAGCGACATTTTGTTTTTACATTTCACCATTTTAGTAGCTCATCTGACCTGTGAGAGATCTATCCCCGTGGTTTTCTTTTTTCTAGTATTCTACAATCATCAAGCAGTGAGCAGTAGCATCGACCATTACTGGTTTATTACATCGTTTGCTGAATATAGTGGTGATTATGGTGGTGAATGGGAGGAGACTTCAAAATGTTGGAAGTGGAACTCTCTGAGTAAGGTGACAGTGTCCATTGTCCTGCGTTGCAATAGTACATATGACGACATGGTTGAGGGAATTATTGAATGCAGGGAATTAAATTGTGAACCGAGCAACTTGATCATTAGTTATGGATGAATGCTAAGGGAAACATCCATCCATCTTTCATAACAAATGATAGGCACGTGGGGTTGTACATGCTTGATGTTGTCCCTGATGGTTCTAGACTAGTTTTCTGGGTTAAAGTTGTTGAGAGGCATGAAGAAGAAGAAGGTTCAACACCATTAGGGTGGCTTGGGTGGGGGGGTTTGTCCCTAGAAAATGCTTGATATAAATATTAGAGAAAGGGAAATCCATTCATTAGAAAGCTCGTGCTGCTTCACAAAACATCAAGAAAAAAGTGATTGTAAACTCAGTGAAAAAAGTGACACCAAGTTCAGGGAGCTTTCTCAAAAAATAGCAATCCCTTGAAAAGGGGAGATGACTGCTAGAATATATTGTGTATCATATCTTGAGTTGTCAGTTTGTGAGACTAGCAATTTATTGCTGATTAGAGCATTTTGCTTCATTTTGTTTTGGGGGTGGGGGGTGGGGGTTCCCACCCAGTGTTCAATACCCGCATTGGGGCTCGAGTAAATCCGGATTCGCGCCGGAATGTCTCACAGTGGGGTAAAGCGCTCCGTAATAAATGAAACTCGGTAACCAAGGGAACTCGAACGGAGTCCTGATTAAGGAGTATGGAGTACATAGCACTCCACCATAACCCTTGCTCGTAGCATATTGCTATTCTGCTTATTTTAATTGCCAGTTTGTGCTTTTGATGAGTTTTGTTCAGAGATTTCTTTTTAACATCATCTCCTCTTTTTTATCAAAAGCATGAAGTCACAAAGTTTGACTTCATCTCAGTGATTGTTTTGTTTCATTTACTTTATTTATCCTTCAGTACATGATCATTGATAATTTTGGTGGTTGGGAATGTTACTTCAAAGAAGTGGTAATGTTCTTTAAAGCAAAACCCCCCCATCAAGTGCCTTTTGTTGCATTTCCTTCTTCTATGTATCTTAACTTTTCCCCTTATGCTGTTTAGAACAATGCCAGAATTAATTCATTTTATCTTTTTAGGGATGAGACTGGTATTTCTTTGTGAATGCATTTAATATAATTGCTCAATGTCTTGCATTCTTTCTTATCAACTAGTGTTCTTCAACAGGCAGATAAGAGAGATGTGGTTGGTTTGCAGGAACAGGTAATCCCTTAGTAAATCTGTTATCTGGTCCTTGAATATGTTTTCGGCTGTTAACTTACTTCTGAATTTTCAGGTTTTTGTTGGGAAAGTGATTGAGCTTCATGATAAATATTTGGCATATGTGAATAACTGTTTCCAAAACCACACACTTTTTCACAAGGTATGTGTTGGAGCAAAGGATAGTTGTCTAATTTAATTGTTCTACTCTGTGCATTAGGTCTGTGCATCAGGGTAAAAGTAAATTACTAACATATGTCCTCTTTGTCACTTTCTAGGCACTTGAAGAAGCTTTCGAACTTTTCTGCAACAAGGGTGTTGCTGGTAGCTCAAGCACTGAACTTCTTGCCACATTCTGCGACGTCATTCTCAAAAAAGGAGAGAGTGAAAAATTGAGTGATGAAGCCATGGAAGAGATATTGCAGAAGGTGAGCTCTTGCTCTATAGATCCCCTTCTCTTCTTTTTCTCAAGAGCATCTGCTTTTTCTTCGTACTAATGGAGCAGGAGAAAGCTGATAATAGATCTCACTTGCAGGTGGTAAAGCTGCTAGCTTATATTAGTGATAAGGACTTGTTTGCAGAGTTCTATAGGTAGAGTTACCTCTACTGTGTATCTCAACCACTACTTGAATAGTTGCTTCTTCTCTGTTACAAGTTTATGACTTCCGTTTTTTTCCAGGAGAAAACTAGCCCGGCGGTTGTTATTTGATAACAGTGCCAATGATGAACATGAGAGAAGTGTCCTAAGAAAGTTGAAGCAGCAGTGTGGGGGACAGTTCACATCAAAGATGGAGAGAATGGTAAGCTATCCAGATCAATTATGCTGAATTTGAAGCTATGTTCTCTGGTGACATTTTTCTTCTCTTCTTATAGGTCACAGATTTGACATTGGCAAGGGAAAATCAAGGCAACTTTGAGGAGTATTTGAGCAATAATCCAATAGCAAATCCAGGAATTGACTTGACGGTGACTGTCTTGACTACTGGCTTCTGGCCTAGCTACAAGTCTTTTGATCTCAACCTCCCAGCAGAAATGGTATATCATATCAATATGTTAATTAGCATTATGTTGATTTTATCTTGGTTTTGACCCTTGTTCCTCTTGCTGAAGTTCTTATCTTTCGGCAAGGAATGATGCATGTTTTTTTGCTTGAATCATTTTTCTTCTCAAACGTCCTTTCATTGATTCATTTTATGCTGCGCATTGTCAGGTTAGGTGCGTTGAAGTATTCAAGGAGTTTTATCAAACAAAAACGAAGGACAGGAAACTTACGTGGATATACTCTTTGGGAACTTGCAACATAAATGGAAATTTTGAGCCGAAGACTGTTGAGCTCGTTGTCACTACTTATCAGGTTGATTTTTGGCTTACTTTTTGAAATCGGATAGGCTTAGTTGATTTGAAATATTGGTATTATGTTATCAATGAGAAAACGAGATTGAGACTTCTTCCTTTTTCGTAGGCTTCTGCTCTGTTGCTCTTTAATGCATCAGATAGATTGAGTTATCAGGAAATCATGACGCAATTAAACCTATCAGATGATGATGTTGTTCGGCTTCTTCATTCCCTTTCATGTGCGAAGTACAGGATTCTCAACAAGGAGCCAAGCACCAAAACAATTTCTCCGACTGATATCTTTGAGTTCAACTCAAAGTTCACTGACAAAATGAGGAGGATCAAGGTATAATTAATGATGAGTAAGGCTAGCCTTTCTGCTATGAATTGTTGCACTACATTACTGACCTTTTAAGGATATCGTTGTAATGGTATGCAGATACCTCTCCCTCCTGTCGGTGAGAAGAAAAAGGTAATTGAAGACGTTGACAGGGATAGGCGGTATGCTATAGATGCTTCAATTGTGCGTATTATGAGGAGTCGTAAAGTAATTGCCTACCAGCAACTGGTTGTGGAATGCATTCAGCAGTTGGGACAGATATTCAAGGTATCCCCAGGATAAACTTCTACTTCTCAATTTTAAAGATCGTTTTTCCAGTTTAACTGAGCTAATTACTTTGTTTTGAATACCCCATAGCCTGATGTCAAAGCTATCAAGAAGAGAGTCGAAGATTTGATAAGTAGAGAATACCTAGAGAGGGACAAAGATAACCCAAATTTGTTCAAGTACTTGGCATGATTTGTGCTGATCATAATACTTGGAGAAACAGGCCGCCCAAGATGAACTTCTTGGACCTTTGATTGCCTTGCATCAGGAGCTTGAAACATTTTGTACAAATGGACAAGAGCTTGAAACTCTCATATACTTGAGATGTGATTGCCTTAACTTCTTCCAATCTTATATGGCCCTTTCACTTGCTCTATTCTGTGTTTTGTTGGCTACCTGTTTGAGTAAACGTAATATCCTAGTCAACAGCTTACCCTCCCTAGATTCAGCACAATGGTATTTACTTTTAGTACATGCTCTGCAATTGTACTTTGTTGGTTCTTTGTAGATTGTGATTTGGACCTTGGTGGTCCTTGTGGGGTTATCTTTTAACCTTGTGCAAGTTTATTGGATCTGGGCCCTCATGTTTCAACAGTTCTCTCTCTTGAATGAATCACTTCCTAATTTTTAGGTCCATTATCCCAAACTTTGTAGACGTGAAAAACTTGTAGCTTCGGAATGTCATTTAGGTCAGAATATAAATCGTATTGCTTTGTAGATTCGAAGATACCAGGTCGACATAGTAACACTCATAAAGTTACTTAATTATGTTATATATAATTACAAAACTAGCTAGTATTAATACTATAAGTTTACATAATCTGGGCAAGTTTGTAATGGTTTTTGATCCGACACCAATTATCCTTGAGCTTAGAGCCAAATCTTAGGCAGGTGAAAGCAAATGAGTATTGGAGTTGACAACCTTTTTAGGTGGCAAAATGGCTTTTTGCGTAGTATCCGTAATTTTTTTACTCTTCAAGTAAGCCTTTACATGGAAGAAGAAGGTATCTCATCTTCACTAGTAGAATACAATTTCATATCTACGTTTGAGAATATAAAAAAGATTCTGAATGTTGTGAGGGTGAGATCAATATTTATTCACTTAGCTTGTCCTTAATCTCCAATTTCACAAATTTAACTTTAACTTTACTACAAACACATTTTTTGGCCAAACAAATGTCATCAAACATGACATTTAATCTTGAATGACAATTCAACATTTGGAGGGTAGAACAATAATGATTAGTTTGAACAATGAAGGTATGGTGTCTCCTATGATAATAAGTGAAGCTCAGCTCATCAAATTACCATCTGAAAAACTCGGAAGTATGTATTAGGTAGATAAATAAATAAAAATTCTTCCCTATATAGTATAATCCATTCGTTTCAATTTGTTTGATCTACTTTCCTTTTTAGTTTGTTTAGAAAAAAATGACTTTTTCCTTTTTTAGCAACTTTTATTTCAACTTTCCACATGACATGTTTAAGACCACAAGATTAAAAGATAATTTTGATATATTTGACAGATCTTTAATATTACGTCACAAGATTCAAAAGTCTTTTTTTACTTAAACTCCATATCAAGTCAAAATAAGTCACTCAATTTGAAACGGAATGAAGTATATGTTATGAACTATTAAGATGGTGGATCTTAATGTGCATATGCACTAGTATTTGGTGAATGTCAATGTTAACATACACTAGTGAACTTGACTTTTCAAGTTACTTTGTGACTTACATTGTATATGAAAATCGATAGATACAATTGAAAGTATAAGAAAACTCTCTTTTCTTCTCCCTATTTTTATTGCTCTCTTGTAGTAGTATTTATCTTATTTTTCTATGATCTCCATGTGTGGCATGATAAAAAATCCTAAAAAAGATTGATTGAGACTCCCTTCACGGTTCCACGAAGATCTCTAGATATTTGTCCAGAATAAGTATGATCTTCGATCTACGTATCTAAGAGCAGCTCAAACAAAGAAGAGTCTGGTGTGGCCTGAATTCGAACATGGCCGTCCATTTGTTGTTAGGTCCAAAAATGGCGTCGTGTGAGGGCGTCGCTGTACCCCTTAATGAATTGAATGGTCCTTCGACCTTTGTCTGATTCTGATGACCGGCTCATATTTCATGAGACTGGTTCACTATTACTTTGAAAAAAATCATGCCCTCGCCTTATAGTCTAGAGACATTAAGCTCCTTTCCTTCGCTATTAGGAAAGTAAGAAACTTCTATTAGCGTCGAATCTTAAGTCGAATTGATTGTGTTATGTGCAACGTCCATAAATGATGATACATTAATATCCATTGATTTAAACTCCTCCCCCTTCATGACTATGCATTTAATATTTCATGTTTTGTGTTTTTTAATAATACATCTTATTTGTACTTATATAGGAAAATAATAAGGTCAACTTAATAATCCTAATGGGCCATAAAAGCATCCCTTACGGGTTGATCCGAATTTTTTACGTCTCTCACTCACACATAATGAGAGTGTTTTTCCAATTTGAGAACATATTTTCATCTCCACAATTATTCATATAGGAAATTAGACCGCGCAACCAACATATTGTGAGAGCTAAGTGATATATATCTGTTAGGAATATATAATCTCTCTTCGAGTATAAACCTGCAAGTACATCATAAAGTATACAGTACTCCATGTCATATGAATTATATTTGATACAATCTCTGAGGTTTTAGGGTATTGTTTGTAGAAGAAGCAAGAAAATCTCAGACGGACCACCGTCGCCAAAATGTTGAATTTTTTTTTATTTGGGTCGCCAAAAAAGACAGCACGAGTTCATCTTTGGAGGAAAAAAGAAGAGAAAGAGAAGCTAGCGAAGAAGTTACGAGCAAAAAAGAACAAGATGAAGGTGGATGGTTAGGACAAGAAGAAGAAAGGTGCAAATGAATTTCAAGTTGGAAAGAAAAAATTGAAGACAAGGATGACTCCATTAGCCAAAGCTAAAGCTACACAAGCAATGGAGATTGAAAAAAATAAGATTTTGTTGTAATCAATTCAGGTGTATTTGGTAACTTAAATTGAAGTTGTTTACGTTTTTCTTCTGCAATTTATGAAAAAACATGAAATTTGTTCAAAAAAATATCAAAGAATGTGGATTGGGGTGAGTCTTCGAATCCATTGAAAAAAAGAGCAACACCGAAAGATGATTCAGAAATTCTCAAGTCTAAGAAGGACAAATTCTATACCAATTTCATGTCAAAAGTAAACACTGGTTCATATCATATTCGTACCAAAAGAATACCAATTTCAAATCAATTCTAATTAGTAATTTTATTTGTTATATAAATAGTATACCAATTGTATATACGTTTTTTTTAATTATCAATATCTGTACCAATTTTATATCAAGAGTGAATATAACAACGTCATACCATTATTATGTAAATATTATTTAATAGGAACTAACAATATACCACTTCATACTATTATGTACTAGTTTTTGAGAACGTGCGTTGTACATTTGTCTCATATAATTATTATCAAACAATTCTAATGATCGACCATTTCAACAACTTTTTGATCTTCTTCATTCTTTAACCTCTGAATGAAATTTAACTGTGAAAGGTAGAAATGGAGGTAGAATATTGAAGAGGAGCCAATTTTTAGCTGCTTCCAACATTACAAGACATTAATTAAGATATAGAAACCTGAATTCATTAACAAAATGTTATATCACCAAAATAATAATTTTGACAGTGTTTGCTAAGATTAGAGCCAATAGAACTTGGGACAGAATAGCCCTGTAAAAAGAGCTCAAACTATAAAAACAAAAACCTTTTCTACCACTTCATTTAGCTAAGAATCATCAAAAGAATGCAAATATTTTGGGACGACATTCACATGTTCTTATAAATGAGTTTTGTGCTTGAAACAATTTCATCAAGTTGTTTTGCTTGCTTGGAGACTAACACCCAAGTAGTTTGTAATGAGACCCGTGATACCAAACATCATGGCCATTGAGATCTGCTTAAGATCATTTTCCATACTCCTTATGTTAGCAAGAGATTGCACACTGAATATAATAAGAAGCCACGAGCAAATCTTTTATCTAATAACATGGCACCAAAGACGCCGAAGATGACGGCTATGAAGCCATAGTAATCTATAGGAACATCTTGTGGACCAACCAATGAAGGCTTGTACGGTTTCATCGCCATATTCGAGTAAAAATATTCAATGAGATTTGAAAATTCAATTGCTCTTTGAGCGACTTAAATAAGGGACCTTAGGTAAGGGAAGATGAAAAGAATCAAATTATTAAAGATTTTTTAGCCAAAAATTAATAAGACTCATCAATTTCGAACTTAATTGTTTGACCTTTGATCTTCATCAGTTTGCTCACAAACAAGAAATGAAAAAGCAATTGAAGAAGTATCATGCCTCGAGAAAAGGAAGAGTCTATTGACTTAAATCATAATTATGAGTATTTTTAATGCAATATTATTAATGTAGAACAAATAATTGCTTTATATATATATATATAAATGGTGAAATGGTAATTCAACTTTTGACTTGAGTTCTTTCCACTTATAATATAATATGATATTATGATACTTCTATACCAATTTCATGTCAAATTTAAACACTGATTCATACCAGATTCGTACCAAAAGAATACCAATTTCAAGTCAATTGTAACTAGTAATTGTGTTTTGTTATATAAATAGTATACCAATTGCATACAAGTTTTTTGCCAATTTCTATACCAATATCATACTTATAAGAGTGACATTGGTTCATACAAGATTCATATAAAAAAGAATACCCAATTCAAACAAATTAATTGTAAACACTCTTTAATTATAAACAAATTTGACCTTTTTAGACGTGAAAAATTTAGAAGGATCTCCACTGCTAATAGAATGTTATGCAGTTCTTTTCGCATAAGATTAAAAAATTATGCCCTTTTTTTTTTTGTTCCATATCATTTTTTACTGTTTTGTTGGTATACAATTAGAACGAAAAATTATATACAATGATGACTATTGTTTTGAGATAAGAGAGAAAAAGACATATATTGAGTAAGAAAAATATCTGTAAAAAAATCTGTTTTGAAAGATAATTAACAGGTGAGAGAAAAGGCAGTAACTGTTTTGAAGTAAACTAGGAAAATAAATATTCTTTTTGTTATGGCTCTTCTTATTTTATGCCTATTATTAATTATCATTACTATTTTTAATTTGTTTGTTAATTTATATTCCGTTTTTTCTAACTTTTTTTTATTTAACAAAATGTTATATCCCCTAATTGCTTAATGTTAAAACTTAAAAAATAAAAAATAATGTCATAACTGATAACTAATAATAATTAGTCTTATATATGTCAATTATGTTATAAAATCAAGCTCAGAATAATATAGTTATAAAGAGAAGAAGGCAAGAAATGTAGATAGAAGAGAGAACTTTTCTTCTTATTCAAATGTGTCTTTCAAATGGTGAGTGATATCTCTATTTATAGTGTTGAGATATCACTCCCAAAAGTCATCTAACTAGTAGATACATAGTTATCCTAAATGTTCTTATCACCTGGAAGCACCCATACATGAATCCAATTAATTATTGGAT